AAGGAGCTTACAATTGCTTCAGTGTTTATACATTGACTAAAAGACAACCCAATGAACTATTAAGTACAAGCAAATTAGTCATCACCAAACTGTCTCTTGGGATCATGACATACTGCTTCAGTATCACAAAGTGTATATTTATGTACGTATAGTTTGAATTGCTGTATTTTTGGCATTATAATATATCTAAAGTTTGATATCCGGATTAAATATGTTTGCTGAAGTTTGTGATCATGGTTAGCTTTCTGTTTTAATAGTTTTGATCATAGTGAATATGATATTTGGTGTTTTTTAATACCTCTAAACCAATGTTCTGAAACAAGACTGATCTAATTGATTGGATTCAACCAGGTTCACCTGGTAGAGACACTTCAGTTCTGTACCACAGGCATAATAGTCAAATGCTTGTTTATGTTCTATTTTGTATAAATCCATCCCAACTTACATGGGGCAGACCGGAAAATTAGACACTCTATACATAACCTCTATTTGTAATGGTTGACTAGGAGAGGGAGACCAACTTTTTCTTCCCATAGGATCACATTCAGACTTTCTCTTCTGTTGCTACACACACTTCAAGAACACCATATCCTAATTTCAGAATACTTCTAAAATACAATGCTTCTGTTTATAAATATTCAACTCCAATATTTGAAAACAAAATAGCAAAAAGAAAAAAAAGTTGCTGCCTTGCAGTATTATACATTAACCATAGATTTATAGAGGCTGACTAGGTTGGATAAGATCTACTAAAATGATGGAAAAAAAAAAGAAGACATGAGGTGGTAAGAGAAAAATGGAACCTCTTGATAATTATATGGTCTATTTGTTATGTTTTTTGTGTTACAGGAAGACTTGGCATTATAGAGCAATGGAGGTTGCAAACTTGTAGTAGAAATCTATGATAAACCTGCAAGCTGCAACAAAGTCATGGACTATGTGTTGACTTCTTGAATTCAAATTTTCTCATTTGGGCTTAGGTGTTATTTCAATTATTCTGTGTTTACATATGCTGCCTTATGTAGGCAAGTTTAGTTTGGCATAAGTATTTGTATATAGTTTATGGTGAATGTATGAAGATTAAGGTTGATAAATTGTCTGTAATTACATTCCAGAATTTCAATAAGTTAAATATCATGTGAATTGTATGGACCACACCCTGCATTTGTTGGATGTTTTCAGACTTCTAAAATGATGAAACCACCCTACAGTCATCCAACAATCTAGGAAGCTAAATATCATGTGAATAGTATGGACATGGATGCATATCTTTTATGCAAGAAATTGAAATTACATCTGCCATAAAATTGGCGCATAGAAAGGTCAGGTCTGTGTAATTACTTGGTAGCATCGTGAAATGTGCTTGTAAAATAGTTAATTAATCTAATCAGAAATTTACAACTGGAAGACAAACTTCTTTCTACTTAGCCTTTATCCTTTTTTTTTTCTCACAAAAGATTTTGTACTCTTTTCACTTGTACTTTAGCCTTTATCATTTTGGTTAAGTAATGCCCAAGAGCTTTATTTATAGTTAGATTTATTCTTTTTTAATTACGTATAAAGTTCGACATGCCCATCAGCCCATGTGACAATGTGCTCATGCTAAGTGAAACCTTAACCTTGAACTAAAGACACTAATAAAAGAGAGAGAGAACCAAAGCAACAAGAGCTTGTTGGCTTATTAGCGTGAAGCCTAACATGCCAGACCCAACTTCTAAAAAAGCTTAATAAGGCTAAGTCAGTCTATGTTAATTATTTATAGTCAAGGTTCAAAGTATCGATTGATTGATACATATCGTGCCGATGGTTTTCTGATACACCCTTCCAAGGGTTGTATTGGGTCAGCCACTGGTTCAGAGGGTAGCTGGGCCTTAAACCAATTCCTCTGAACCGGTTCCAAAAAAAAAACAAAAATGTAAAACCTAAAAGAAACTATCGATACAGCCTGATATGCCTCTACCGGCGTATCAATATTTTGAGCCTTGTTTATAATCAATTTGGCATATGGCAAAGATGATTATGTAGAGAGAGAGAGAGAAAATTCTACTTGTACAAGCATGGAATGATGGAAATGTTAAAACAATAAGGCAAACTAGAGAGAAAAACACAAAAGGTTGCAAAAAAAATCATGTCCACCTTTAATTATTTTCTCACAAAACAAACATAGGAAAATGAATTTTCTCATTATTTTTCCTTGTATAACCAAATAATGGAAAATAAAATTTACACACTTTCTCATCTCATCCCATCCCACTTTGTCCACAAACCAAACGAAGCAGCATAATTGGATTTAAATTTGGCTCAAAATTGCATTTAGACCAAATCGAATTGGAACTTTTCACAAAGCCAAATAAGTCGTGAATAACTTGATTCGTATCCACCCCTATTCCTCACTATCGTTGTTATCTGTGTGAATAACAAATAAATATCAGCCTTTTGTCTCGTCTTTCACCACCCACTCCTTGCTCTGCCTGCTGATCATATAAATAAAATATTAAATATGTTGAATCGCGATATTTTTTTTGTCCTCTCGATTTTTTTAGTTTACCATTTTACCCTTACACTGGTTGGCACCTGGAACTCTGGTGCTGGCTTAAAAACAGAGAGACGTTTGGGCCATTTATTACTCCCTCCGAATTTTCAGAAATTTCTGCTGTTCTGATCTCTCCTGAAGGTTCTGCTCGTCCATGGCATCAACGTCAACATGGAGATGGTCATGGAAGACAACGAGCGACTCTTCTTTCACGGTCTCGTCTTCTCGCACCTCTTCCATCTTCTCATTCTCTATTCGCAGAAGAAAGAGAGGAAGAACCCATTACGCCAAATTCTCTCTAGACCACTCTTCTTCTTCTTCTTCTTCTTCTTTAAAAGAGTGGAATCTTGAAATTCCTGCCACTACTGTTGCAAAGGAAGTCAAGAGAAAAGCTTCCCAGTTGGGCGGACTGGCTGAAGGAACCATTTTATTGCCCGTGGATGAAGAATTGCCCTCGAAATTCAAAAAACCAGTTAGAGTTGAGCCGAAGGTTAAGATTGTGAGTAGTTTGGGTAGGAAATTAATCCATAAAGGTTTAAAATTGTTGTTCGGAAAAAGACCCTTTTGGCGGAGGATCTTATTTGCACCCAGGAAGGTCAGGAGCATCGTTTTACTTAATATTATCACCATTGTATATGGTATGTTTCTCCTCTTCCCTTATCTCTATCTTATTTATCCTTTGATAGTGCTATTATGTTTAGAATTTGGATGGTAATCGTCTCTGTTGTAGTTGGTTCAATATGGGTCATCGTAATCAGTAGTATTTTTGGTGGAATTTGATGGAAAAAACCACCCAACTTGGCTGCTTATTTCATTCTGTAGGGTCGTAGTTACCCGGTCTCCATATCTGGATTTAGTTCACTTCAAGGTTCAATGTTGGCCTACTGAGAACAAATTGCCTAATTTTGCCTTGAATTGCTTAATTTTATGTTAATTTGCTGCGTTTTTAGAATTTGTTTTGTTGGTTGTTTTCTTTATTATCTCCTGGTAATGAAAAAATGGTCTTAATAATATGAACTGAATGGGGATGATTAGGATTTGTACCTTTGCGAGTTATCAGGTGACAAGGTTAGATTTGAGGTATCTAGTACGTGCTGTGTTGCCGTGGGTGGCAAAGTAGTCAACTACAAGTTCTCTTACCTGCATACATGGCATATCTAGTAGATATGGAACTTTTCAAAAAGATTCTAGAGGAATTGGGTTGCTCTTGAAGTTTTCAGTTTTGCTGGAACTTGTATTTCAATCCCACTGATCTGTGTCTTTATTACAACTAGCAAAGTTTCATTATCATAATACATTTGTAATTAAGTTTTTGTATAATCCATCTTACAATCTTTCTTTGATTCGTATTGATCTCATGTTTCAGCGAGTGAAGTTCTAGTGTTGAAAGATGCTGAAGCGATCATGGATCCAGCAGCCTTTACAGTTGTGCGATTTGCTGTTTCAGCAATCCCATTTTTACCATTTGTTTTACGGTCACGAGATGATGTTCAGACCCGGACTGCAGGGATGGAGTTGGGATTCTGGGTCAGTTTGGGCTACTTTATGCAAGCCCTTGGGCTACTTACATCTGATGTTGGGCGTGCATCATTTCTTTCTTTGTTCACAGTAAGTTACTTAGTTCAGATTATCTGAATGTCATGCACTTTTGATGTATCATTAAGTAATTTATTGCTCTCTAGGGAAAGAAAGAGCATGTTTTAAAACTATTCTGGGTGATTTGAGCAGGTAATTGTTGTACCACTGCTAGATGGCATGCTAGGAGCAACAGTGCCAGCCCGAACCTGGTTTGGAGCTCTAATGTCCGTCTTGGGGTTGACAATGCTGGAATCAAGTGGATCTCCTCCCTGTGTATGTATTGCATGACCCATTGCCAATTCTTTAATATTGGTGGCAGTTCAAAAGCTTACCAGTTTATGTTAATCTATTTCAGGTTGGGGATCTTTTGAACTTTTTGAGTGCAGTATTTTTTGGGATCCACATGCTGAGAACAGAGCATATCTCACGAAGTACAAAGAAGGAAAATTTTTTACCACTCCTTGGATATGAGGTTAGTTTCCTCAGAATGGTGAATTATTCCCATAAGGTTCCTCTACAAATTTCCATGTATAAATTTTGGATTCTATAGTTTATCAGGCATTGGTTTCATGCATGGTTTGACATCTCTGTGTTTTAATTCAGGTATGTGTCGTTGCTTTACTGTCAACAATGTGGTATTTTATAGGAGGCTGGTTTAGTGGCATGCAAGAATGGGACCCAGCATCCTGGACGTGGACAATGGTGTGGGATTCGATAGTTACTTTTCCATGGATACCTGCACTCTATACAGGAGTATTTTCAACTGGGGTATGCTTATGGATAGAGGTATAACTTTTTCAGTTCAACTATAGATTGTAGAACAGAACTGTTTGATTTAAACATTCATGTCTCCCCTCTTTTAAAATTAACAGAACTTTGTACAAACAACTAGTATCTTTTTCTATTATTTTTAATGGGGCTTAAAATTTGGTTGTATAGATGGCTGCAATGCGTGACATATCAGCAACAGAAACTGCCATTGTTTATGGTTTGGAACCAGTATGGGGTGCCGGTTTTGCTTGGTTTCTACTTGGTGAGAGGTGGGGTGTTGTTGGATGGATTGGTGCTGCCCTTATACTTGGTAAGATGACATGACCTCTTATCTTGCTGATTTTATTTGTTGTATAATCTTAAGTTTTTTTTAGGAAACTTAACCATTGAAATTACCAATGATTTAAAAGGCACGCCTCAGCCACGCCTAGGCATAGAGACAAGGTGCATTTTAGGGTATGTGCCTCGCCCAGGTCCTAGACTCCTAGGCGCACGCCTAGTGTGCCTTGCGCCTCATCCCAGGTGTGCGCGCTTGGTGAACCCCCTATTTGCTAATGTTGTTCATTCATTCCMGGGTATGTGCCTCGCCCAGGTCCTAGACTCCTAGGCGCACGCCTAGTGTGCCTTGCGCCTCATCCTAGGTGTGCGCGCTTGGTGAACCCCCTATTTGCTAATGTTGTTCATTCATTCCTTCTAATAAAATATCTTCTTAAAAGGCAATTAAAGTTATAAAATCATTATTTTTTATGTGAGAAAATAAGAATTTAAGACCCTAACATGGACTTATTCAGGCTTGCCTCGAGGGGCATGGTACAAAGGCAACTTGTAGAATCAAGAATGCAATATGTTTTACATCACATTAGCTACTTGAAGTAATGCAACTAAGGAAGAAAAAGAGATTGTGGGTTTTATATGCTTGAAAATGCTTTATATATTTGCTTTTATTTTTAAATTTTCATTTGAATATGCTTTACACGTTGTGCTTATGTATTTTAATTTTAGATAATAGGTTTTTAAATTATTTATTTTAAAATTTAAGTTTATATTTTTTATTAATGTTATGTTTATTATTTTTGATTTTTTTTGCATTTTTTTTTGAATTTTCTGACTTTTTTTTTTGAATTTTTAGCTTTTTTTTTTTGTAATTTTGCACCTTGCTTCAAAAAGGTGTGTGCCTCACGTTACGCCTTGCGCTTTTAAAACACTGTAAATGACAAATAATTTGTTGATGCCACCAAATCTTCTCTTGAACATCAAGAAAGACTAATCATTTATGCGGACTTTGAAAGAAAAGAAAAACCCCCTCAATAATTCATGAACTATTTCATTAATCTATTGGATGAAATCAAGAAATGGTAGTTCAAAATTTCAAAGTACTAAGCTTTGAGGAGGACCATTTAATGATTAAACAAATAAACATTGCAATAAAGTAATCAATCTATTGTCTTGAAATGACTCTTATTTTTCTACTTGGATAGGTTACCTTACAATGATCCTAGAGACTTGAGAGTGTAGAAAATAAAGGCATAATTTCAATACATTAGCCAAACCAATACGTGCAGGTTACTGTTAAACTGATTAATATCAGCAACTATAAGATAACTGAACATGAGTTTTCCTATAATCTTCTGGTTTCCAGCAAGAGCTGGGGGCTACCTGATTGTTTTGATTTTTTGAGGGATGTTGGGGTCTTGTCTTCATGTAGATGAATAGATGGATTAACAGATAGCCCAGATGAATAGATAGATTAACATATATCCCTTACATGTGATAAGTGATAACTATCTCATTCCCAGAGCATTGTCATTATTAACCTGTTTTCTAGGGTTTATATTGCAATCTGCATCCTGGCAGCACCACAGGTGTTCAGTTATCTCACTCTTTCCACTTATATGGTCACTTGTTTTTTCTCTATCTAAAACTGACAATTTTGTGTCTGTAAACTGAAAATGTTTTAACTATATTTTCGGCCTTGGTTCATTGTAGTTGGAAGCTTAACAGTTCAGATCATGGGGTCATCTCCCAGTGAATCTAGTGAAGACCAAGAGAATATCAGGCGAAGTGATCACCTATTGGTTTCGGATAAAAGAAATGGGTTTTCCACGTCACCAGTTGTTGTTAGCACCCGAAAGAATGTTTCAGATATATTGAAGAAGTAAGCCGTTTCTCTGTCTGTAATCTATGTATATCCTTCCTGTCATTTCATATATTATAACGTAGTTCTTTTGTAATACAAAAGGTATATTATTAGGGGATTCTGAAGGCTTTTTGCCCTTCTCATACATGTATATATATATATATATATATATATATATATATATATATATATATATTTTTATATTATATATATATATATATATATATATATATATATATATATATTTTAATCCCACATTAATATATGCTTCAACATATGAGAAATGTACCCATTAAAAGAGCCTTGAAATTTTATATTAAAATCCATTCAATATTTGTCAATTTGTGAGTCATCCTTGTGCAAGTGCCATGTTAACTTCTCTCTGCTCCAATTTTATCAAATGTATTTGAATGAAGAGGATATGCCCCTTTCAGCAAGTAAACAATGGATCCATTTTGAACCACAAACAAAAAACGGTTTGACTATGATACTGGAAAAATTTACAACCAATCAACCGGTGTCATGAAAGTAGTAACATCAGGGTGGTTGGTCAATGCTCTTCTGCTCTTCTGATATTATACCTTTCCGGCATCATAGGTTCCCAAACCCGAGCCTGGACCAATTCAACCCTCAATTTATAAGGGTTGGGCTTCAAATTTTTATACTTGAGCTGGGTTTGGGCCCAAAAGTTCAGGTTTTTAATTTTTTTGGGTTGGCTTGGATCTAGCCCTTGGGAATTCTGAACCCAGCCTGAGCATAATCCGATCTTATCCCAACCAAAGCCTAGCTTAATTATGGGGGTGTTCTGTGGTGTAAATGAGAAATTGGTGGTGTGGACTGGTCCACACCACACCCTGTGGTAGGGACGAATCCACACCATACGACAGTCCACAACTGTTCTTAACTGTGAACAAACCATGTGAACTAGACCAATCCACACCCACAGTGGCGTTTTGTAGCGTGGTGTGGATTAGTCCGCATCATACTTTTTTGATTTCATGTATCTCATATACATTTTATGAATGATATACATAGTTAATTATGAATATCTAATTTTTGCATTTTATATGATAAATATTTTAAAAAAATGCATCAATGAATTAATATTAACCAATAAATCATGGTTTTCAAAACTGGGTTGGACCAAATGGTTGGATCGAAAAAATTGGGAACCGGTTAGGTGGTCGGTTATGCTTTTCTCTAAAATCATAAATTTGCAAAAAAAAAAATGTTGATTTGGTCAGCCAACTGCTGACCCGGGTGGTTGAACTGTTTGACCCAGGAACCGGACCCCTAACCGGTTCGTTCTCTGGGTCTATTTTAAAAACCTTGCAATAAAAATTAATTTTTTTATAAAACAATAGTAAAATAATAAAAAATTAAAAAATATATTTTAAATATTTAAAAATATTATTTTATTGATAAAAACATTAAAAATTTATAAAAATAAAAAATTAAGTAAAATAATATTTTAGATCATACAGTTGAAATGCAACTACAGGAATTTCAGAGATAAAATTGAAGGTATATCTTTGTGTATCTGTAGTCTGTCTTAGATTATACAGCCTCTAACCCCTGTTCGAAGCATGTGATAAAAAATAAACTGTAGACGGGACGTATCTACGAATTTTTCCTGTTGACGATATATTGGGGTGTGGACGGGACCTGTCCACAATATATTGGGGTTTGGCATGGACCGATCCCACCCACACCTAGTCGAATGGGACCAAATCCCATGGTTTCGGTCCCATCCATAAGATATACGTGGTGCCGAACACTGCCTATATACATGTATATGTGTATATATAGACACATATTTGCGTGCATGTATATATCAATTTTTAGTGTGTGCTAATTGACCAATTCGAGCCTAGTCTAAGCCTGAACCAAATCCAAAGTGCATCAAATTTTAATGTGGACTGGGCTCCAGTTGAATAGCTTGGATTTGACCTCAGGCTCAAGCTTTAGGCCCTGTAAGGGGATAGATTATACTAAAGTATTGCCGTGGACTAGCCGCAATAGGACTACAGGCTCCACGGTTGTTAGTAGTGTTTGTTCAAGGAGGACCATAAACTATTTCTGCAGAGGCCAGTTGTGGACACTCTTCACACTTAGACCTCAATTGCAGATACTCTTCTTGGGATGCAAGACAAAGTAAATAAAGCAAGCCATGGTCGAGGGAGCAAATAACTAAAAAGGTTGTTTGTATGGCAAATCTTGTCTCCCTTGAGACGACACGTGGTAGGAGTCTACGGGTGTGGGAATCAGGATGAACATGCTCTTGCATCGTAGCCCATGTGTGTCCTTATTAGAACATACCTAGGGACCAGAGCCCTTAACCACCCAAGGAATGTTCTAGAATTCTTGATCCTTGCCCATGCACGAAGTGAGTCCTTCATCTACAAATAGTTGGGTTCATGATGTGAAAGGGGGTTATTTGTCAAGTCATTGATATTTCCGGAGTCATTTTGTTTTGTCTCCAATGACTTAATCTAGAGTTACCTAGAGCTGCTTCAGCTCAGTTGAGCATTCTAGCCCTAGCATCATTTCGACCTTTATTCCTTGATAGTTCTATTCTCATCTTCCCAATCCAGTCTTATCTTTGATGCCTTGTTTTTTCCAGCATCCTACACTCTACTTCTAGAATTTGGACCATTTTCGCATTTTTATACCTACAGGTCCAATTCTTAGGGTTGGGCCTAAGTTGAGCTAAAACCCGGCCAAGCCCACTTGACTTGTGCTCCTACATGTACATAGAATAAAACTGGAAGAGCCAAACTGGACTACACTATAGTAGTTGAACCCAATCATACAAACTAGATTGGGCTGGTATGGGAATTCAAGGTGTATATTTGGGATTGGGTGCAATATATGGTAAGGTTTTAAATATCAATATGCTCGATACGCTGGTAGGGGTGTATCGGGCAATATCAATACTTTTTTTTTATTTTTTTTTTCAAAATCTGTTCAGGGGGCGGTTTAAGGTTCCTTCACCCCTGAACCAGTCAGAACCCTGAAACACCCTCTGTAGGGGCGTATCGGGGTGCTCCTGATATGATATGTATCAATCGATGGGCCGATACATGTCAATTTTTTGAACCTTGATATATGGGCTATGCTTGATCATCAAGCGAGTGAGAGAATTAGACATGCAAGCAAAAAAATCATAAAAAAAATGTCAATATGAGTTGAATTATGCATTAATCAAATAATCATCATTGCATACAATTCATTGTAGATAGTCAATTGAATCAGACGAATTAATCCAAAACAAACAGAACCATTGATAACGGTTCAAACAGGATAAGGAGTGTTGGTTTGGCTACACTAAACATTCATTAGTTGAAGGAGCAACACTAGCTTAATGGCACCCTTACCAGACCCAACATTGGTACTGCATGTGACTACCTGCTTATAGGGGTGTCAATGGTATTCGAAAATCGATTTTGAATTCAAGATTCGATATAATTGAGTCAAATTTGAATAATTGAAATATTTAATCGGTCAAATTCAGATATGACTTGATTCGATTCGATATATATCTAAATTCAATTGAATATTATTTTTTATATATAATAACTAATTTATATATTTATATACTTTATATAAATAAAATATTTATTTTATATATTTATTAATTATGTAAAATAATTAATTGGTCGAATTCAAAATGAATCGAATATTCAAATATTTAATCGAATTCGAATATTAATTTTCAATATCCGTTAGATATTGAATCGAGTTCAGATATCAAATTTTCTAATTGAATTTGAATTCGGATATTGCTTGATTCAATTCGAATTCAATCTGTTTACACCCTTACCCGCTTAGTTATCCTTAGTCACAACATCAACCAAAATATTATAAATTAATTACAATTTATGTTAAAATATAAAAACAATAAATAAATAAATATATATCCCAAAATCCCCAAACACTTGAAAACCCAAAACCCCAACCAAAATGGAAGCTTAAGATGAAACATCATTCACAAGAGAAACCAAAATCCCCAACACTCAAAAACCTAAAACCCCAACTGAAAACCCTCACAGATCAAAACTCCAAACACACACGCGAAGACAAATAATTCCAAAAAAAATAACAATTGGATGACTTGCCAATGAAAAAAAAAAAAAAAAAAAAACTCTAATCAAAGCCTCAAACTGAAGAAAAAAAAAAACCCTAATCCCAAACAACGATCAACAGGTCGGGATGGTGAGGAAGAAAAATAGAACAAAGAAAAAGTGCGGAACTCTAGAGAAAATGCACAAACAACACTACAACATGTTGAAATTCCATTTACCGTAAAATGAATGTTCCATCCATACTTTCCTTTTTCACTTCTAAGGTTTTATGCTTCTTTCAAATTGACTCCTCTAAGGTTTAAACTTTAAGGTTATGTATGGTTTGAAGAAAAAGGTAGGAAAAGGGAAAGAAAGATAGAAAAACCAACAGGGAAACTAAATATACCCTAAAGTAGTATGATTTTTCCACTCCTAGTTCAGGCTGTTGAACCAATCACAAAGTCCCACGTTAGTCATAAAATGCTTAGGACCCACAATAAAAATTATGTATTTTATGAGTGGTGTCCTTTCAAGAGCCTGCCAAACAGTTATTGTGTTCAATAATCCTATTTCAATTTAAGGTGGTATAGCAAATATTAAAAAAAAAAAAAAAAAAAATCGGCTTTAAGATACGTGTCAAAACACATTTGAAAAAAACCAATAACAAGTGGAAAGTTTGAGAAAAACTTCAATAAGCAAACTTTGGGTAAATTTCAAACATACACCATGATATTACATTTAAAGACTCAAATAGATAAGAGTGGTAAAAAAAAAATACATATAAAATCTAATATATATATTATATGTATTGGGACCCGTACCAATGATACAATAATGGGCCTATAGGCCAATCTTTCTAATATTTCAGTTGGTTATTTGATGTGCGTCTCGTTCCTCCGGATTAAATAAGAATTCATCTATCAAAAATACAGTTTTCGCTTATCAAGTAAATTTTTGTATTAAATAAGAATTTCTTGGTCTTTCCTCCATCTCTTGGGGAGTGTGGATTAATGTTAAGCCCATGGGCTTCAAAAAAAAAATAAAAAAATAAAAATAAATTTTTATATTTAATTTATCTTCAAAAACAAGAATATTTTTTGATAAACTGTTTATTAACAACTAAGAACCATTAGATATCACATCAGCAAATTTAACATTGGGAGAAGTGTTAAAATAAAGCTTTCCCCAATGATTGATGTAACATGACACCATTTATTAAATAAACAGAAATTATACCAAATACCACCTAAATATGAGATCAAGCATCTGTTTGGCATTGATGTCATTGCTCCAGAAAATGGTGATACATCAACACCACCTTAGAAAAAACAGTACTCAACAAATGTCTATTTGTCTAGAACTGCCAACAAAAACGTTAGGTACTAATGCATAGACTTTCTATAATGAGTACCAGTACTGAAAACAGATAACTGATACCAATCAGAAAGTATTGTTGCTCAGAAAGGCAGCAACGTATCCAAAGTTCCAAACAAAAAAAATCCCTGTTTCTGGTATCTGCAGCATCGATGCTAAACGTGTACCAAATCTAGCCCAAATTTATCACGTAAAAAGAGCAAAGTTATATTCCAATAACAATAAAAGGAGAGGGGGCGGTGGCTTGGTCTTGGGTGGCTCTGATACACTTGACAGTGACTAATAACTGCGATAATCACGGAGATATCTTTCTGGCTTTTAATCGCTCTTTTTTTTTTATTTCTTTCTCTCCTTCACAAATCTACACTTTCGATATTTTTTAAGAGAAAATATCAAAACTCTAAACAATTGGAACAAACTGCCAATTATTTGCAACCGGATAACTGGTTACAAACTGGTGCATGTACAAGGATTACTGCAAATACAAACACAACTATTAATCAAGAGTGCCCTCTTGCAGTTGCAGACCCATACTACCACTGCATGGATCATCAACCGCTTGTTTTATTTAATGGAGACCAAGCAAAAGATGCCTTTGACTACACAAACCTTTAAAATATACTAAAAGCTCACTGCAGCACCAAACAAGTATTGGGGTAAAGTGGGTTGGGGGTTGGCCCTAGAGCCTCAAATATATACAAAAACCATTAAAATAGACCAAGCATAAAGCATCACTGCAGCACCAGACAATCCTGGGGAAAATGTGGAGTGGGGGTTGGCCCTGGAGCCTCAAATGGAGCTTCTTCCTGCTCCTCGTTTCCAACATTGGCCACCTCCACACAAGCCTCTTGCAACCCTGCAGCTTCCAATATGTAAGCCTTCACCTCTTCAAACCTCTCCTTTGAGAGAGAGACCTCAGCCAGGAGCCTCCAAGCATAGTCCTCTGATGCATCTTCATAATCTTTCCTCCTCTTCAACACCATGTGCCCGCTTATCTCCCACACTGCAGGGTTTACTTGGGTGTCTAGAAGCTCCTGGTTCACTTCTCCAAGTGCCTGCTTCTCTGCATAACACTATTCAAACATTGGCAGCAGTCGATTAGTTTTTTCATTTGTTAATGCAAGCATCTAGATTGTAATCACAGTTTAACAAAATTCCTGTGACTTGACTGAGTGAACACAGCAGCTGGTTAGGAAGAGTTTGAAGAATTCTGACTAGAAACAGTGAAACCTACCTGCTTATATATTTTAAGTGTTGTCTTTCTCCTTTTTCTTTGGTTACAAGTTGTCTTCTTCTTCAATGAAGATAAGAATTAAGACGAAACACTAATATAATACTCGATGAAAATCACATGTTGTAATCTTATTTTGTTTTATTTTTCACGTAAACACTGATCAGATCTAATGTATAGAGAGCAATTAGATTAAAAATACATTATATATTTGACATTATTCAAATCATGGACCATTTGGTCAATTATAGTGTCTCATTTCAGGATAATTAGGTAAGATGTAACAATATTACCATGTTTTATATGATTAAAAAAGAACAAGTAGAACAGGGATGATTTCCCACAATGTGGCCTAACTTTTTTGAGGCAAGCTGTAAGGTGATGCTAACCTCATTTATGTGGGTCATATGTTTCTACTTTCTAGCCACACCCTAACATTTTTTTTTTCAGAAATGGTGGGCTTTCTATCAGTAGAAGAAAAGGATAAAGGCTGCTGAGGGAGAGGCTTCCTAAACAGCCGATTACAATAAAGCAGTAATAGTACTTTCAGAAGGAAAAGCCTTACAATACAAAGTCTATCGACAAAATACTACTCCAATGGCTAGAGAAAAGGATAAACTTGAAACCCTTAGGCTATGTTTGGTTTGAAGAAAAATATAGGGAAAGGAAGGGAAAGGTAGGGAAACCTTTACAAACCTTGTATTGGTTTCCCTGTCTTTCCCTTCCTTTCCCTGCCTTTTCCTTCAAACCAAACATAGCCTTAAAGAGTGTTGGCTGATGCAAGCTTTTCACTATTTGTTAACCTAAAAATCAACCGAAACTTTGGTCTTTGACCAGGGTTCAGTGATCAAATTGTTTTACAGGTGCAGTTGCTGGACTGCAATCCATGTAAGAGATAGACTACAACCGGATGATCTAGCTCCATGAACACAAGAAGCAACTTACACTGAACCTCTTAGGTAATACTGTAATATTAACTATAATCATTCTTTTTCTATGTTTTTTTTTTTTTTTGATCAGTAGACTTTCTTGTTCTGTCTTAAATGATTATAAAACTATGACATTATGCAAAAGGATTATTACACTGATCTAATGATTTTGTAGAGAAGTCTTCAGTGCACGTAAACATTCCAAATTTTCCTGGGGGTAGTCATATTAATGAATCATTCAGAATATGTAGATATAACCCAACATAGCTTCATAATCTGTGCTAATTAGTTAGATACAACAAAGATATCTGCAGCCTCAAGTAAAGTAATTGCAAAATGAGCCGCCAATTTAAGATTGCATCTGAAGCGGAGTTTGGGTAGCAACAAATTACCTGAGGGAAAAGGAAGACCCGCTTGCCACAATCAGAGATGAGAATATTGTATGGAATGTTGTTATCTTGGAGGCAGATGCAAGAACTAGCGACAGCATCAGACAGATCTTTCATTGTTTTTCCACCCTCAAAAACCAGTCCCCTAACTGGATAGTTCAACAGTTTGGACACTATCACCCCATTATCTGGTACATTCTTCACCGTGATAATTTTCTGAGTTGGGACCTTCTCGACCGGGAAGGGAACCGACAGGTAATATGCCTGTGGCAATGGAATAAATTGTCGATTGTACACATAAATTGAACCAATCTGAACAACTACTGCTAATAAAGACAACAGGTAGGAATTTCTGTGAAACAAGATCATGCAATCAACCGTAGTAGTTATCTACCTGGAAATGGAGGTGATTGATGGTGGCAAAGGCACCCAAGCTGTTGTAGCCCAGCCGGAAGAATGGATTTGCTGCTTCATCTGCCATATGAAGAGCAAGCAAGAAGCTTTCATGGTCAATCCTCTGAGGCAAGCAATCGAGGACACGGGGAATCAGAAGTACATGTCCATACTCAATGGGGCTAACCTGAAAACCAGATGGAACAAATATCAAATCAAACAGAGCGATTTCACAACTAATTGTCTTACAGATTCTACCACCATCAGAGATGAAATAATCTGAAATCGAATTGGGCATACATTAATGGCAATGACGCTGGGAGACTTGGAATTCTGGCCGACAGGCGCATTGGGAAAATACTTAGTCTCATCGTCCTCACCCTCCTCGAACCTGAAGAGTACCTCTTCTTGGCCCACCTTAGTGAAATTGAACTTCTTCTCATCAAAGGGCTGGAGGACCCGGTCGACACGGAACTCGGTTGGCCGTTTCTTCAGGTGACGACCTTCGTTGAGCTGCGCAATGAAACCATAATCCCCAGGAATAACCTTGGTCTCACAGGTCGTCACGTCGTAGCGGAAGAGGCCTTGGCTCATCCGGTTCTCCCACTGCCCCAGCAGCAAATCGTTGAGGAAACAAACCTGGTTGCTCTCCTCGGATTGGACTGCTCCCTCGCCTTTGATCGAATCGCTGCCATCTCTTTTGAAAGCGTAGAGAGGAAGTTTCGACACTGAACAATTAACGAAGACCCATTTCAAAATTTCTAAAATTTCTATGCAATTGAGAGATCAAACATGGAACCAGAGAAGGGTCTTAGCCTTACCGGGTACGCAACACTTGCCGAGGCAATTCCGGCCGCAACCGAGTGCTTCAGGGCTTTCTTCCTGGAAGTTAGAGACGACGGTGGGGACCCTTTTAATGGTCAACATCGTGGACAAAAAACCAGTTGGTTTCTCGGACAAACAAGGTCACGACGACGTGAATATCGGAAAAAAGTTAGGTAGGTCAGTGGCTGTTATTAGCCCCCCTATTCGACCCGAACGGAAAAGGTGGAAAAGGGGAGATGGGTTAGGGGGAAGGAGGGGAAGAGACCACCACCGCCGGCGAGGAAGAGGAGATCGGAGGGGCTTCCGCCTTCGGAGGGTAGAGCACCCCTACCACCGTGAGGGGAAGGAATTCTCTTCTCTACAAGAAAGTTCTGAAATTGGTCCACTTGAGATGGATTCTCCTCGTGGTGGAGATTCCACCCGACGGCTCCAAGTATAGCCGTGATGACTCAACTCGAATTCCTTCCTCTCGTTCCTCTCCGCTCGTTCTCTCTCGCACTCAGGCGCTCAGACGCTCTCCCGCTTTCTGTTTTTTGCTTGGCCTAAGGAGAAGAGGAAGGCCTTTATAGGATACCGAAAATATCGATACCGTATATTTATACGCATTCAAACACGTATCGTCGGAATAAAATAGTATATTAGAGGCGTACTACCATGTGGGAACCGAGGTGGGATCTGCTCCTCACATAGCGCCTCACAACGATCCCACCGTGTATTGAGGTCGGTGTAAGGCGCCATGAGGAAGGAGCAGACCCGGTGTCGTGGGAACTCTCATTCTATTCTCCGTGAGATACCCTTTTAAGCTGCCATGTGTCTAAGTAGAGAAGATCGGGACCCATTGTTTGAATAGAAAATTGAAATTTTTAGATGCGGAATTGATGGTTGATCTAGATCTCGTCTCTGGAGCGACACGTGGCAATTGAATTTGAATGGAGGAGATCTCATCTCATTGTAACAACGATGGATGTCTCCCATTGCAGTATTGCTCTAATATAAAACGTGTAGTAATAGTTCGAAGGCGAACTTCGACCAGAGACAAAAGAGAATCTTGAGGACAATATCTTAACACGTTTAAGTTGGTTACAGTCACACATTATTACGGATCCGATAATGATACGGAAAAGATATAATATAAAAAACGGAGAAATACGGAGACACACAATGCACAATTCTTAATTCCAGCCCCCCGGTAAACTAGCCCTCTCCCCCTATAAACCACAATTCACGGTCAGAATGCATTCTCCTGTACTTGGGGCCTAGTAAATTCTGAGCTGGGCTGATTGGTACTTCTTCGTATCATATTTTTTGCATCATAGGTTTTCCCATTATTAAGTGTGGGAAGATGTTTTCAATGCACGGATGTGATTTACTGTAAGATTAGTATGAGGTGCGGTCCGTGGAGGCTGGATCTGCTCCTCACACCTACGTCCTACCATGCATTAGGAACATCTCCCTTACTTATTAGTTATTATTCACGGGAGATGTTCTTAATGCACAGTGGCGCCTATTTGTGAGGAATAGATCCAATTTCGCGCTCTGTGAAGAATAAATCCAATTACGAGGAGGCGGGATTTGTTCCTCACACTTGGGCGCCTCACATGCACATCCACCGTGCATTGGGAACATTTCTAGTGAATAATAACTTAAAAGTACGAGAAATGTCCCCAATGCATGGTAAGATGTGCGTGTGAGGCACCCTCTTTGAGGAGTAGATCCGGTCTCATTTTCAAGGAAATCAACAATTAAATTAAAGGGTAAATTTCTTAAACTACCCTTATGGTTTAGCTAATTGACTAAATGTACCCTTACTATTTGAAAATTGAGTGATGCTGCTTTTATTGTTCCTGACAATTGTCTAAGTCTTATCAGTGCCTTTAAACATGGATGGAAAGTCTAAAATGTCCGCTTTACCCTTTAACTCAAATATTTGATTGATTAACAAAGTTACCTTTTTATCCCTTGTACCTACGGGTTCACTTAGCTTGGATGAGTGGCCATCGATCTCTGCTCGCTACAGCTGCCGCTAATCTTTGCTTAAAGGAAACATTACATGATCAGCTGCCGCCGGTTGTTGATGGTGATGAAGGAAGATTTGGCCCAACCTCGTAATCACTCAACACGTGGCAAAGGCAACAACTCGGCACAACAGCGCACCCAAGGCGCGAGCACCGAAGGGAGGAACCAACAGTCCGAACTCCCTACCAGTAGTCCGAATTCCCTACTAGGGGCCCGAACTCCCTACAAGGAGCCCAAACTCTCCCTTAGGCCCCGAGCCTCACACAAGGCAACAACCCGAACTGGCCCGCCCCATTGCAGTTTGGGACACTCCCCTATCCAAACTCAAGACTTCACCTCGCTCACCACCCCAGCACTTCGCCTCCAGGATACCGAACTGAACAAACGTACCATAACTAACACCGAGGAGGTCCGTATCCAAGGGCGGCGCACCTGACGTGGGATCTGACGCTTGAGAGCCGCACTTCAACGGCCACCTGCCACCGTCATCGCCAGCCGCAGAGACGGCTCCGACAAAAGGAGCAGTGGCGGTTCTGTCCGGCCAGAGGAAATGACATCCGAACTGGCAGGAGCTCAGAAGTAATCATACCCGATCTGACAGAAGCTTAGAAGTGAGTGCGCGAGGTGGTTAGAAAAGGCTCCCTACCCCCCAAGAACGAGGTATGTGAATTTTGCACCATCTGGTTTTATCTTGCCTTTGAGAGAGTTCTAACTTGAGCTTCGGAGCAATCACACCGAGTTCCCCCCGGAGCTTCCTCATCTTCTCCATTTCAGTTTCCCTGTAGCTCCGTTCAGAGGCAAGGTCATTGATAGCTAGGACCGGCCGGATTGCGCTCCATCAATTGGCGCCGTCTGTGGGAAAGCTTCTAAAAGCCTCCCTTTAAAACTCTCATAACCTCTTCTTTTTTTTTTCTCCAAAACCTTAACACTCATGGCTTCTTCCAGCAATGTCGGACGTGGCACAGAGATGAACGCCACCGGGGAACAACTCCAAGTCCCCGTAGTGTGCATCGAACAGTTCACCATCCCCCTCCCGGTGGATGGGATCCCCAGCTTGAATGCGCCACAAACAGTGGCGCCCGTAAACCTTCCTGCCATGAACGTCCCCTTTCCACTCCCTATCGAAACAACTTTTGCTGAACCAACTGCTGTCCCCCTGGCGACCCGCCAGAACCAGTTTGACGATCTGATGCAATGCATGCGGGCAATGCAAGCCCAAATGCAACAATTCCAACAGCATCAACTCCAGCAGCACCAAGTACTACACCACCTCTCTCAACATCACTATCA